TACCCGGCGAGTAAAAGGGTCCCGGGGCCCATAAGATGGCCAGAATCACCAAGCCAGGACTGCCGTATAGCTGGTGCTGTTTCGGGTGACAGCAGTTCTGGTTAGTGGAACGGGGCGGGGGGGGGGGGGCGTCCCCCAGTACACATCGCGAAACCAGGTCCCACCAAACCCAGTTCTGCCCACGCCCGAGGGGGGCCCAGGGAACATGGAAAAAACACATCTACTATTCGGTATCAAGTCATGGGAGCCTGGTGTACCCTTTCAATTCCGTCTTTAGCGTCGGTTAGCGTCGATTAGCGTCTGGGGGTCGATGAGAGAACGCCGATTCAGCGTCAGTTAGCGTCGGTTAGCGTCGATTTAGCGTCGATGAGCGTCGATTCGCAAGAGCCGACAAGATGGTACGGGAGGCTTCCATGAGCTGCCACCGAATCTACTACATGGAACCCGCACGCGCCCCCAAACCCGAAAATCTTGGCCTTCGGGTCTGGCTGGGGTGGCCTGGCAGGCCGCCGCCGCCTCCACGATCGCTCGGCCCCGCTCGGACACGCTGCTGCGCCTCCCCGCGCGGCCGCTCTGCCTGGAAAGCCCGGCCCCGTGCCGCCGCGGCCCGGTCCGGCGCGGCCCGGGGCTCCGACGCGGCCTCCCCCTCCTCCTCCTCCTCACTCCTCCCTCCTCCTCCTCCTCCTCCTCTCTCCTCCTCCTCCTCCTCCTCTCTCCCCCTCTCCTCCTCCTCCTCCCTCCTCCCCCTCTTCCTCCTCATCCTCCTCCTCTCCTCCTCTTTCTCCTCCTCCTCCTCCTCCTTCTCCTCTCCTTTCCCCTCTTCCTCCTCCTCCTCCGCCTACTTTTCCTCGGCTCTTCCTGGCCCTGCCCCTTGCCCAGATGCACCTTGCCCAGATCCCCGCCCCAGACCTGCGACCTCCTGAAGGCGCCCCTCCCGCATCCATCTTGCACCACGCTTTGCACCAGGTAGCAAACTCCTTCCAGCTTCCATCTCGATGTTTCTCGGCGCCGCTGCGCCACCACTCTACTCCTAGAGGCACCGCGCCCTTGCGCGTAGTGGAGCGTTGAAGTCTGTCCGCCCGGCTTCCGTCTCCCTCCTGCCCGCGCCGGGCATCATTCCTCTCTCCCCCGTGCATTACGGCCTAATTCGCATTCGTATGCCCTACGAATGCTCTTTTGCCAACTCAGTCATTCTGCCTCGCCGCCGACGAAACAAGTATGTCTGTCCTCTCCTTTCCCAGACTGGAGATGGAAAGACGGGTATGATCGGACGGGGCCAGGACGAGACTGAATCCGTCCCAGAGCGTTCCAGAACACTCAGAGCGTTCCAGGACGTTCTCATGAGAAGGGGCTCCCGATGAAACACCGGCCCTGGGGAAGAGCTTAGAGGAGGAAAAGGTAATTACGCTATACCGCTACCCTCGCCTCGTTTTCCCCTTTTTGGGCCTCCTGGGAGGCCCTCGTCGCCACCGCTGGCCAGGCCTCGAGATCCTAGTCAGGACGCACCCTGGGGGAGGTCCAGGGAGCAGTGCTGTTGGTACCTGTTGGTTTCCCCAAGTTCTACACATTGGCGGTCGACGCCGTGAAAACGCACGACGTCGGAGGTCGAGCGAGGTGGACGTGTGGAGGTGAGTGCGGGCCGCCCGATGGAAACAGGAGGCACGTTGGATTCCCAGACCGTCATCTCTTCTTAGCGCCTTCTGGCTTCAGCAGCCAGTGGCTTCCCATCCTGCTTGCCGGTTGCGCAGGCGGGCTTCTAGGGCTGGAGCACGGCCATGAAGCTATGTTCGCCACCGCCACCGAGAACAGTATCACTGGTGGACACTGTTCGGGCAGGCTTCGTACTGTTCCACAACGTCGGCCGCCAAGTATGTAGAACTTGGGGGCGCTAAGAGGTATCGATACCGCCATTCCCCACCGCTCTCCTGGGGTGCGTTCTGACCAGGGTGTCGAGGCGAATCCAGCGGTTCTGTTGCATCTTCGGGGGACCTCGCCTGTCCCCAAAATTGGTGTCTTTTTTGGGGCCCGACGCGAGCTCGATGCGGACTCCACGCGGATTTGGCATGGATTCGACACGGATTCGACACGGATTCGACACGGATCCGACGCGTCCGACACGGATTCGACACGCATTCGACGCGGACAGGGCCGCGACGGGACAGACAAGGTCCCCCGAGGATGCAACATCACAGCGGGCTTCTAGGACTGGAGCACGATCATGACGCTATGTTCTCCACCGCCACCGAGCACAGTATCACCATTGGCCACTGTTCGCTTCAGCTCCGGGCGAAGGCCCCCGCCGAAGGGTGCACGCGCCGTGCGTCGCGCCAGCGGGGGTCGCGCTCCTCCTCCTCCTCCTCCTCCTCCTCCTCCTCCTCCTCCTCCTCCTCCTCCTCCTCCTCCTCCTCCTCGCTCATCTTCCTCCTCCTCCTCCTCCTCCTCCTCCTCCTCCTCCTCCTCCTCCTGTGCGTGCGCGCGGCTCCCCGGAGCGGTGATCCCCCTTCGGCTGCCCCAGGGGGTCGGAGAGCCCAGGGGGGCGCACGTGCTGCGTGCGTCCAGGGAGGGGCCCCCCCTCGGCCGCGGGCTCGGCGGTGCTCCCGGGGCGGCTTCGCGCAGCCCCCTCCTCCCCCCTCCCCCCCCTTTCCCCTCCTCCTCCTCCTCCTCCTCCTCCTCCTCCTCCTCCTCCTCCTCCTCCTCCTCCTCTTCCTCCTCGTTCTCCTCCTCGTCGTCCTCCTCCTCCTCCTCCTCCTCCTCCTACGTCACCCCGTCGCCCATAGACGTAGGCCCTGGGGTATTCGCGTAACCCCCTCCCATCGACGTCACCCCGTCGCCCATAGACCCAGACCCCCTCGGGTGATGAAACAATCATGACGGGAGGTTTTTGGTTATTTTCGGCCTCTGGGGGCCCTTACCGGCCCTCGGGACCGTGAAACAACGACTCAGGATGAAAAACCGGTCCAGGGGAATGGGTCGAGACCTCCAGGGGTCGATGTAATGAAAAAATCATGACGTCGGGGGTCTGGGGACGTAACCCCTGGGCCCTGGCCCCCCCCCCCCCCTCCCTTCTCTCCCCGATCTCCTCCCATCGACGTCACGCCGACCTGTGGCTACGAGATGTGCGCGTCGACCCCCCGGGAGGCGCCGCGCTCACCGAGACATCTTACCGTACACGCTCCGGTGGCGGGCGCTGCTGGCCATAGTGCCGCTCGGGAAGCGACATGCTACCAGATGTTTATATTATTATTATTGTCGGATCCGACCCATCCCTTCCAAGACGGACACTTGCTACTAATATGTTTTTGCGCGTCCCGTGTGATGTCCTCCTCCTCCATTCCTTCTCCTTAAACATAATTTCTCCCTGTCGCATCCCGAGGCCAGTTTTTAGGGCGGCCCAGGCGTTTCGCCTGAGACTTCCTCACCATTTATGATTCTGAAGCTGGAAAGTCACAACCGTTTCACATATGGAGGGCGGGTGGTCTTCAACATGTGGCTCTTGCCTTAGCGCCGCGCACATTCTTTTTCAAAAGTTGCAAGAGTTTCACTGATTGAGGGCGGGTGGTTTTCAAAATGTGGCTCTCGCCTCAGCGCCGCGCACATTCGTTTTCAAAACTCGCAGGAGCTTCACGGATTGAGGGCGGGTAGTTTTCAGAATGCGGCTCTCGCTTTAGCGCCGCGCAAATTCGTTCAAAACATTTGCAAGAGTTTCACGAATCGAGGGGGTCGTTTTCAACATGTGTTTCTCGCCCCAGCGCCGCGCACATTCGTTTTCAAAACTAGCAAGGGTCTCACAGATCGAGGGCGGTTACTTTCCAAAATGTGGCTCTCGCCTTAGCGCCGCGCACATTCGCTTTCAAAAGTTGCAAGAGTTTCAAGGATTCCCATGATCAACGTACCAGGAATGGTGTTTTGGAAGGATTCTGGATTATGCGGGCGCAACAGTTATGTTGATTCGCGGTGTTGAAGTCCCAAAAATTGGCGTCGTGGTACGATTCCAGATCGTCAAGGCGCAGCAGTCAGGTTGATACGTTGCGTTGAAATCCCGAGAACAATGTTTTGGCATGCTTCAGGATCTTCGAACGGTGTTCTTCCAACGAGGCAGTTCCCTCAATGGACATGAACCGTTGTAGGGGCCTATGAAGAGGGAACTTGGAGGGAGGGTTAATTCCAATGTGCCTCCTCCCGAGCTCCTCCCAGGGCGAGTTACGCGGACGTCGGTGTCCTTCCGCTCCGACGGGAGCGACGGCGGCGGCGCCTTGCCCAGCGTTGGGCAGGAGCGCTCGGCATCCACGATGGCGCAGAGCTACGACATCGACAAGAGACCAGAGAAGGAACAAGTACCCATACCGTTACCCTTCCCTCGTTTTCCCATTTTGGGAGGGGCGTTCTGGGATGCCCTCGTCGCCACCGCTGGATACGCCTCGAAATTCTGGTCAGAACGCATACCCGGGAGAGGTCTGGGGAGTTGCGGTATCGGTACCTTCTGGTGTCCCCAGGAGACCTTCAGACAGGAGGGCCCGCCAGACATTTGCGGAGAAGTTCACGCAGGACAGCGAGGATGTCGCGAGGAGTTCGCAGAGGGCGCTCAAGTCCATGATAAACAGTTCCGACACCCAGCCCGCCAGAGTCGCCAGCTCCGCATGGGACAAGCTCAGCGAGCTGCACGGCTTGGACGAGCCCGCTCGGGAAGGGTGCGTGGCGGAGCTCGTGTTGAGCAAGCGCTTCGAGTTCGTGGCCACCCTCGTGATCTTCCTGAACTGTGGCTTCATGGTCGCTGCTGCGAACTACCAGGTGGAGCATCCTGGCAGCGACGGGTCCTACCTCATGCGATCCATGGAGATCTTCTTTCTGGCGTTTTACTCGATGGAGGTGCTGCTCAAGCTGATGGTCCACCGCTGGTTCTTCTTCTGGAACGAAGACGTGAGGTGGAACTGTCTCGATCTGTCCCTTGTGATCTACGGTTATTTCGACATCCTATTGGGGGGGATGAACATCACCTGGCTCCGTTCGTTGAGGCTCCTCCGAATGGCAAAGGTGCTCCGCGTGCTCCGGATCGTCAAGAGCTTCAAGGAGCTGCGGCTCATATTGGCCTGCCTCGTGGGCTCTTTCCTGAACCTTCTTTGGAGTATCGTGATGATTTGTATCATTGTGTTCATGTTCAGCCTGGTCTTCGTGCAGCAAACTGGTTCGTACCTCGCAGACCAAGCGCCAGAGGACAGAGATGCGGACAACATAGGGGAATTCGATACAGTTCAGCGTTCCATGCTCAGTCTGTATGCGGCAGTGACAGGTGGTCAGGACTGGCTTGTGTTCTACGAGACCCTGCAGCCTACAGGAGATCTGTCATGCGCGATCTTTCTGTTCTTCATTCAAACGCTTCTCGCATTCCGCCGGCTCATTTGGCATTATTGTTGTCATTCGCCCATTCGTTTGATGAGGAGTGTGGAGTTGTCGGGTGGTGGTGGCAGTTTCTCCAATCTGTCTCGTAAGGCTTGCGTGGGGGAGATACATCGCTGGGTAAATTGAGGGCAAAGCGTACAGTGCACACGTCCTCAACCACGCTTCGCCATCGGAGGCCCAAGACAGGACGAGGTAGGACAACTGAAAACCTTCAGCGTTGCGGCCACGTGCTCGGCGGCGCGGCGGAGGCAGTCAGCCGGGAGCCCAGAGAGTGGCGTCGGTCCGAGTGCGAGAAGGGAAGAGGAGGCAGCGGCACACGCAGTGCGGGCGTCCCTCGGGGGGCAGCCGAGAGAGGGCTCGAGCGGGGACGCGTTGAACACATCCTGGAGCTGGCGCCGATGGAGCCCTGCGCCCACGAGCACGACGGCGATGCGGAGGAGGGCACCACCCGACCTGCCGTGCAGCCCTCGGCCGGCCTCGCCGTGTCCCTGCCTCCAGTCTCCGTGCGGGGTCCAGTTCGGTCGGGTTCGAGCTCGGCGCCGTGCCGACAGGCGTCCTTGGGCCCGATTTCCCGAATCGATGCCGGCGGATCTTGCACGACCTCTTGTAGTCCCCTTGGCCGGCCCGTCTGGGCCTGTGCCTCCAGAGTCCGTTCGCTCGTGGCACCCACCACCGTGCTGAGCACGCACAGGCGTTTCTCCTGTCTTGGTCAGTTTCCATAGCTGTCGGGGGGCATGGTTTCTTGGGCGCATCTTGGGAGCCGTCTTGCACCATGCGTAGTGATCAATATTGGAGCTCATTCGGGCCGTCCTGGGGGCATGTTGGGACCAGCCACCCGCTTGAGTCCCACTTGTTGGCTCTCTTGGGACCTACTCGGGCCCTCTCGGAGCCCTCACGGGGTCCCTGGTAATATATCGTGGCCCTCCCAGGACATTTTGGGCACTGTCGGGGCCCTTTCGGGGTCAGATATGTCCACTGGAGACCGCGAAAAGTGCGAATGCCACATCAGCGACGGAAAACGACGGGGTCGTCTTCGCCGTCATTGGCGCGTAAGCTGCCCGCGTAAGCTGCCCGCGTAAGCTCGCGCGTAAGAGCCATCGTCGCCAAGATAGCGTGCCACGCTGGCGGCCCGCGTAAGCCACCGTGTAAGGTCGCGGTGCCATCTCGTCCAAGACCCCCTTTTGATCGTTGGGAGGAGGAGCAGGAGGAGGCGGAGGAGGAGGAGCATAAGGAGGAGGAGGAGGAGGATGAGGAGAGGGATGAAGGAGGAGGAGGAGGAGGGGAACAGGAGAGGGAGAGGAGAAGGATGGGAACAGGAGGCGGAGGAGGCGGAGGGAGATAAGGAGAGGGAGGGAGGAGGAGGAGAGGAGGAGGAGGAGGAGGAGGAGGACGCGGAGGAGGAGGAGGAGGAGGAGGAGGAGGAGGAGCTAATCAGAGAGAGGTGCTGTATTGGACAGTGGTGCGCCGCCATGGGGTCCTGCCGCGGCCCCCCGGTTCCACGCCGGCGCCTGCCTCTTCCCTTCCTTGGGCGCTTTGGGAAGCCCTCTTGCGGGATCGCGGGGCCCTCCTGGGGGCCCACGTCGAGAATTCATCGGCGGCGAGCCTCCTCAGAAAGTGAGAAGGAGAAGGCCTCCTCAGAGGGTTCGGAAGCCCCCTGGCCTTGTAGGAAGTTGTCTAGCCCTCCCCGGAGACCGAAAAACTTCTCAGAAGGCGCGAGGGCTTCTGAGAAATCCCGCCGCCTTTTGAGAGGGCCTTCTCCCCCTCGTTTCCCCCCCTCGCTCGCCGCCGAATTAAGAAGCCCGTTGTAGCCCGAAGCAGAGAGAAATCCAGCATCCATACTGTGTTTGCTTTATCGGGGGCCGCCAGGGAGGGGGGTCGCCGGCCATGTTGAACTACCATTGACGTCCAGTTGGTTCTCAGGGGAGGGCAAATTGGGGCCATCCTCGAGCGTGACACCGATTGGTCGACTGGGACATGCATGGGACCTTTTTGGGCCCTCATGGCACCCTCTCATGGGCTTTTTCGTGGGTGTGTGGAGGCCTTCTTGGGGTCCCCCCAGGGCCAGAGAAGCCCATCGAAGCAGGCAAGGGGTCGAAGACCAGACATGTCAAGCGACACGGTTCTGCTGTGTGACCCTGGCCGCTGTGGCACCCTCCAGGGGGGGAGGGCTCCGCCGGGCCAGCCATCCTGGGTCCCAAGTTTAGCATAAACTTTGAAACGATACAGAGAGAAGGGCACGGTGGGTGGGTGGGATGCTCAACTCGTTGCCCATTTTGGCTAGAGCTGTGCTGAAGCGCTCCGTCCGTCCACGGGGCCAGGCTGACCTCGGTCATCTCTAGCCGATGGCGCAGCTTCACCCCACGGAGCACGAGGCCTGGGCGTTCGAGACTGCGCGCGCGGCCGCCACCTGGGTGGACTTGGCGGCCGAACCGTGCACGGCCGCCCAAGAGTGCAGACGGGCAGCTTCGCCGACCCCCTCCGCAAAACGCGGCGCTGCTTCCTGGTCAGGCCCTTCGGGCGGCAGTTGCCGCCGCCCGGCTGCCCGCCGAGGAGGGCGCTGCGGAGGGTCGTCGGCCGCTCACGCCGGTGGAGGCCGCGCAGGTGGGGCTGATTTGGCGCATCGCTCGGAGGCTGCAAGCGCCGGCTTGGGCGGACTTCGTCGACCTCGACCCTCTGGACAGAGCGGCGGCGGCCGCCGCGCCAGGCGCGCAGCCAGGCGCAGGCGGGGGGGCCTCCCGGCGGAGGCGCCACCGCGGGTGCCGCCCCCGCGCAGTGCAGGAAGGTCAAGCTCGGGCAGGTCCTCGTGCAGGGCGACGAGACGGAGGTGCCGGTGGCGACGGACCCTGAATTGGCAGCGCGGCACAGCAATTGGAGGAAATTCGCATTGGGCCCGCCAGAGGAGGAGGAGGAACCCAGCGTGGACCAGATAACCGCCCTCAACACCCGCGTGGTGGCGATGGGCGATACCCTTTACGCGGACTTCCCTCTCTTCACGCCACACGGGCGCCGGGTGCAGCGCGCCCACACGTTCACAGCCTTCATGTTCCAGCCAGAGGGCTCGTGTATCAAGCAGGAGGTGCCCGGGCCCAACAGTTTCGAGGCGTGGGACTTCTGCTGGTCCGTTTTCAGGGTCGCCGCGGTCATGCTTGACGTCATCCCAGAGGTGGCGCTGTCGAAATACAGGGCGTGCATCGCGACGCTGGCCCGCGAGTGGCCGGAGTGCTGGTCCATCGTCTACCTCGCGGACGACACGATGAGGATCGAGGGCCTGCACCGCGTGAGGTCCCGGATCAAGGGCGACATGCGCCGTGGGCTACAGCCGCCGCCGCTGTGGGACGAGTGCAAACCTTGGGGCGCGTGCTTCCTCGCGGCGGCCGAGGCCGAGTCCTACTGGAACAAGCACGTGCGAAACTTGCGCGTGAAGTGGATGTCCCAGGGCAAGGAGGGCGCCGCCCCCGTCACGCGAGAGCAGGAAGTTGCAGATGCGGCGATTGCGGGCGGGGCTGCGACGATCGCTCCACTGCCGACGCAGCGGCGCCTGGCGCCAAGGGCGGCACCCCCCGGCCGTGAGGGCAAGGGCTCTCGTCGGGTGCGAGGATTCGGAGGCGGGCGAGGGAAGGAAGCAGGCAACCGTTCGGGCCGCTTCCCGGAGGTAACCTATGAGCCGGTAGGCGCCCTGCCCGTCCTGGCGGCGGGACTGGGTGACCTAAGGCTCACTAGGTTCCCGGTCTGGCGGAGCGGCTGCTTAGGTAACGTAGAGCCTGCTATGTTCCTGCTTTCTAGTTGATCGCCGCGCGCCGGTGGCAGGTGGCCGTGCGTGGGCGCGGCCACGGAGGTGGCGAAGGTATGTTTCAGGTCCGGCTATCTGGAGAAAAAGATCTTGGGGGGTGGGTGTGTCTGGTGGCCTCCTTTCTTCCGCTATTGCTTCCCAAGTTTAGCAGAAACTTTGAAACAATATGTACGGAGAGAAGGGCGCGGTGGGTGGGTGGGATGCTCAATTCGTTGCCCATTTTGGCTTGAGTTTTGCTGAAGCACTCCATCCGTCCACGGGGTCAGGCTGACCTCGGCCGTCTCTCCCACCCACCCAAATCCCCGAGCTGGCCGGTCAGGTCGTTGACGGTACCTGTACGAGTTTCAATTCGCCATGGTTGGCTCTCTTGCGTTGCGTAGATCGTGGGCCGTGTGTGGGCGCGGCCACGGAGGTGGCGAATGTATGTTTCAGGTCCGGCCATCTGGAGAAAAAAGATCTTGGGGGGTGGGTGGGTCTGGTGGCCTCCTTCCTTCCGCTAGCGTTCCATGCTTGAAGTACACATGGTTCATGCGTAAGTATTCGAAAGTTCTTCGATTTTCGGGGGGCCAAGATCCTTTCATTTCTACTTGTTTTGTCCTGGGCCTTTTCCTGGCCACTAGGGGGCCAGGAACAATTAGAAACGAGCGCAATTAGAAATGAGCACGATTAGAAATGAGCGGCGTGTGCACTGGGCTGTCTTGGACTGGCTCGTGCCATCCTGGAGCCTCCGAGGACTCTCTCAGAACCTGGCAGGAGTGTCCGCCGAGCTCTCTGGCGGCTTCGATCTCGGGCGACTCCCGGGGGGGGAGCTGCGCCCGTTTCCCTTGGGGGCACCCGCGTGCGCGCCCAAACCACCCCAGTGCGCCTGGCATGACCGCAGTGTGGCGGAGAGCGCGCTCAGCGTGCGATCCGCTAGCCTGGGAAGTCTAACGCGCCTCTGGCCCGATGGGCCGTCGTATTGCGTTCATACAGATCGCACTCGTCAATATATTGACGGGAATTTTTGTGGAAAAAGCACTGAAGAGGGCGACGCCGGACACGTACACGCAGGCGCGGGCGCTCCGCAAGCAGGCGGTGAAGCAGGCGAGCGAGCTCAAGCAGCTGTGCGAGGAGATGGACACGGACGGCGACAAGTGCATCTCGAAAAGCTAGGGGGCCACACGCGAGCCCCCCCCCAACCCCCCACGACCTCTGAGGGGGAGGGCGGGGTTCACTTCGCTCGGGAGCTCCCCGAGCGAAGTGAACCCCACCCTCCCCCCTCGGAAATCTTTGGGGTAGGGGTGGGGCTCGCGTGGGGCCCCCTGAGAGCGAGTTCTTCAACACCAGGCCAGCGGCGCGCGCACGCACAAAGGGGGGGATGGGTGGGGAGCTGCGCCACGGGGGGCCCTGTGCCTCTTCCGGGCCGTTGCGCGGGGCGGCTGCCCCTGGAGGGCGGGGGGCCTCCCGGGGGGAGGGCCCATGGGGATCTCGGCAGGGCCTCTCCGCATTGCGGCGGGCGTGTCCCTCCACAGGAGGCACTTGAGCAACAGCGGTCACAAACCAAAGATCTGGGGACGGCCGTTCCAGTCGATGTTCGACCATGGTGGAGCATCTTTGCCAGCTGGTGTCATTCCCCGTCCAACACAGAGCCGCCTGTAGGAGGACACGCCCGCCCTGATGTCAGCAGCTCGGAGAGACGGCGAGGCGCTCCCCGCCCTCTGGCAACAGAGGGCCCCCGCATCTTCGGCGAGGCGGCCCCTCTCTCCTCCTCCTCCTCCTCCTCCTTTCCTCCTCCTCCCCCCTCCTCCTCCTCCTTTTCCCTCCTCCTCCTCCTCCCTCCTCCTCCTCCTCCTCCTCCTCCTCCTCCCCCCCCCCCTCCTCCCCCTCCTCCTCCTCCGCGGCGCGCCCCCTCTGGTGCGCCGCGCCCGCGCAGGAGCAAGCACCTGAAGGACTACCTGAAGCTGATGGGCCTCGACTTCCACGACATCGTCGAGCTCTTCAACCTGCTGAGCGGGGAGGACGGCGCTCGTCTCGATTCCCCCGACCCGGTGCGACCCGATCGCGATGGGTTCCGATTCCGCTTCGATTCGGTTCGGGATTCCGATGTGGGTTCCGATTTCTCTCTGGACGCATACAAGCCTGCCGATCTCCGCCGATTCGATGTTTTCCGACTCGGCTGCCGAGTTCCGCCGATCCGATCCATGTCGGTCGCCGATCCGACTTATCGATTCGATCCAGGGCTTTCCTGGGAGGATGACAAGAAAGTGCCCGTCGAGGACTTCGTGAGAGCGTGCATGAGGCTCAAGACGGTGGCCCCCGTGGACATCCAGAAGCTGATCTGCGAGTCGGACATCATGATGTCCCACGTGCGCTTCATGGAGGACAGCCTCGAGCAGCTCCACCTGAAGCTGAACTTGCACACCGACGACAAGTCCTAGGCACCGAGGGGCAAGGTTCGGGTCGGACGACAGGGAAGAGGGGATAGGGAAAGGAGGAGGAGGAGGAGGAGGAGGAGGAGGAGGAGGAGGAGGGAGGAGGAGGAGGAGGAGGACGAGGAGGGAGGAGGAGGAGGAGGAGGAGGAGGAGGAGGAGGAGGAGGAGGTGGGGGGGGGTCCCAACTCTGCTGCGTGCAGCTGGCATCGGCCCCGCCGCTGGGCGCCTCCCTCGATGCATGCCGTGGCGCCTCCGACGCCCGGAGGCGCGAGAGGAACCAGCTACCCGACATCCGCCGGCCGGAGTTGTGCAAGCCGCGACCCCGGGAGATCCCGACCCCTTCCCTTCGGGCGTCGCGTTGCGCCCCGGCTCCGCTCTCGAAGGTTGAAGGTTCCCGGGCCCGAAGAAGTCCCAGGCCTGCCAGCGGCCCACCAGTGGCAGAAAACGATGGAGCATCGATCTGCGAGGGAGTCGTGGGAGACTCGTCGGAGGCGACGATTGGGGCAAATAGCCCAGGGGAGACGGATACCTGTGAGGCGTTCCAGTTTGAAAGGGCCTCGCCTTCGAGAGTCGAAGGAATTGACATCTCTTCCGCCGCGGAAGACGGCGGAAAAGAGGCGGAAGGTCGGCGGCAGTAACACGAGGCCGCCTCCGCCAGCGGAAGCCGGCGGACGGCTGGTGGAAGGCGGCGGAAGTAAAGCATGCGCCCCCAAGAGGTTTCAACATTTTTTGGTTCAGGGGTTTCAGAACCCGCCCCACGTATCCAGGGCCGCCGATGGCCCCTGTCTTCGGGGAGGCCCCCGGGCGCATGCGCGGTTCATGCCCGCCCCTTGGCTGCTCGCCCCCATCGCCGCCTTCGAGAGATCGATCTGGGTGCGTGGGCTGATTTGCCCTCCCCCCCCCTTCGGATGCAACTCCTGGGAGGTAAAATTCTGATCTTGCTCTGGTCCGAAATCCGGCTCAATCCCGCTGAATCCCGCTTAATCCGTCTCAATCCCGCTGAATCCCGTTTCATCCGGCTTCATCCTGTTTCAATCCGGCTTAACCCTGCTTACTCCGCGGCCCACTCCGGCGCAACAGCCCCCCAATGTCGGGTGTTGCTAGAAGTGCCCCTGGCCCAGGGTGCCCCCAGGATTCTCAGGGTGGCCCAGACGGCATCCAGGGCACCCCTCACGAGGCCCAGAGGGCCCCAGGGGCTCCAAAATAGAGCGAGAAGCTGGGGGCACCTTGAGCCAGGGGCACTTCCAGCAACACCCGACAATGGGGCCTAATGCTTTGTAATCCTTGCGACGGACACCTCCCAGCTGTTGCTTCCTGCCTCGTCCGACCCGGCAGGTGTGAGCTCTGCAGGGCCCGGCCCGCCTGGAGCCTTGGGCCTCTCCGCCCCCGGGCCGTCCAGGGCTCGCAATTAGGGCGCGCGGCGGGCGGCGACCTGCCGCCCGCTGGTCCTCCTCCTCCTCCTCCTCCTCCTCCTCACTCCTCCTCTCCTCCTCCTCCTCCTCCTCCTCCTCCCCCCCTCCTCCTCCTCCTCCTCCTCCTCCTCCTCCTCCTCCTCCTCCTCCTCCCTCCTCCTCTCCTCCTCCTCCTCCTCCTCCTCCTCCTCCTCCTCTCCTCCTCCTCCTCCCCCTCACGCCTCCTCCTCCTCCTCCACCTCATCCTCATCCCTCCCCCTCCCCCTCCCCCTCCTCCCCTCCTCTCCTTCCTCCTCTCCTCCTCCTCCTCCTCCTCCTCCTCCTCCTCCTCCTCCTCCTCCTTCTCCTCATCCTTCCCCCCCTCCTCCCACGATTGTCGTTTTCGCCGGCCGACGACTCGCAGAAATCTGCTCCTCCTCGGTACTCCTCGCGCAGGTCGGGAGAGCAGAGCTCGGGCGGGCCCCGCCTGCTCCACCTCCTCCACCCCCTCCTAAAGATCGGAGGTGGATAGACCTCCCACCCTGACGCTTCGACTAAGGGATTGGCCGTATCCGGTTCGCGAGAGGGCGCCGCGGCCGTCATTTTCGCGGGTCCCTGTCCGTCGGTTTCGGTCCCGGGCCGTTTTCTCTGAGGGGAGGTTTACTAGAGGGAGGCTTCTCCACCGCCGACAACAGGGGAACGAAGAACGACAGACCCAGAAACACCAAAACTCGGAGGTCCGCGCGGACTTCTCGGGTCCGCGCCGGAGCCCCCTCACGGGCGTGCGGAGCGCCCCCGGGGCGGCGCAGGACGCGCGCGGAGCGCCGCCGGCACACGCGAAGGAAAAGTTCCCGACGGTGTGCTCTGGGTGGGATATGCATCGAGGGGTGGGCGACTGTCCTTCCGATGGAGCTTTCCCATGCCACCCCTCCGCCACCTCCTCCTCCTCCTCCTCCTCCTCCTCCTCCTCCTCCTCCGTCTCCTCCTCCTCCTCCTCCTCCTCCTCCTCCTCCTCCTCCTCCTGCTCCTCCTCCCCCCCCCGTCCTCCTGCTGGGCGATGGCGCAACTTCCACTCTACCGACACCAATGGCATCACCGTCCCGATCTTCATCCACCCGGACAAATCTCCCAAACAAAGACGAGCCGAGGTCCAGTGCAAGGAACTCCACCAGATCTTCAAGGACCGCTATCCCACCCATAGGTGGAAAGCCTTCCGGGCCAAGGGGGAGATCCGCTGCGATGCGGTCAAGATCGTGCGCTTGGAGATCAACGGCCAGGCCGACCCGACCAAACTGCAGTGGAGCCGGAAGGCACTCGCCCACATCGCCGAGGTCGACTGCGCAGCTGTCGGACGTCAACGCCTTCACGGCGCTCCTTGCGGACACCGAGGACGCTGAGTGGCGGTCCCAGCCACCCATCGGGGCCGTGGCTTCCTACGGAGTCTCCCCGGCCCGCCGGCCTTGTGTCTTAGAACGCACGTGCGCTGATGTGCCACAAAGCGGAGCCGCCGGCACCTCAAGCAAGCCGCCCTCGCCAAGTACATGGTGATCGTTATTCCCCAATCAGTGCTTGCACTGAAGGGGTCCTCGCGGAAGTTGAAGGATTTGGCGAACGTTTCCCGCCGATTTTGGTCGCACGCTGGGTTCCCTGGTTCCCGGTTCCGGGTTCCCGGGTTCACGGTTCTGGGTTCCGGGCCGATTTCGGAGGATGGCGAGGTTTCCAGGTTCCCGGGTTCTTGGTCGATCTCCTTATCGATTAGTCTCATCATCGATCTCATTACCCACTTCTCTATCGATCTCACCATCGAGCTCACAATCGATCTCACTATCGATCTCACTAGCGATCTCACTAGAGATCGCATGAGCGATCTCGCTATCGATCCCACTATCGATCTCATTGAATCGATCTCACGCTCGGTCTCACGATCGACCTCACAATCGCCCTCACTATCGATTACACTATCGATCTCATTATCGATCTTACAACAAGATCCATATTGTTAATCTTCGAATCATCCACTGATCGGATTTTCTCAGGTGTAATCTATTTATTGTTTTGCCGGTCGGCACCGGCCCTCGCACCTTCCCCTTTTCCCCCCCCCCTTATGGAGTAGATCTTGGCTGTTCTGGGCGTCTGTCTGGAACAGGTGGAGCCTCCCGTCGTGGGACGCACTGTCGCAAACAGTCGCGCTAAGCAGAGGTCCGGGGCCAAACCCACCTCCCCCCCCCCTTCCGCCCAACGTCGAAACGCCGAATAAAACAACGCTCACGTGAAGCGAGGCTGCATCATCCTCCTGCGGGGAGGTCCACGGCGCAGTGGCCTCACTTCGCACGTGTGCTGACGCACAGCCGTACCCCTGCAAGGTCTTCTTCTCCGCGGCGGAACCCTCCGCGGGCAGGCCCTCCCCTGGGGCTGGTGGGGTCGCCATTCTCTGTCCGTGGCTCTCGCCTGCGCAGCTGGCCCAGCTCCGCCCCGACCAGCTACCTATCCTACGTCCTGAGGTGATCGCAACCGGCCGCGCCACCTCCCGTACCACCACCAGTCCCACGAGCAACAATACCATCGTTGTCGCCAACGTCCACAACTACGAGATGCGGGGCCCTGCTCTCCAGCGTGTTCGCCAGCATTGGGATGGCTGCCGCATTCGGGCGGAGGCGGATTACCGCCGCCGGACGTTCATCGTGGGCTGCGATTTCAACACGTCCAGCCGCCCGCCTGCAAGTTTCTTCCAGCCTCAGCCCGAGCATGCTCGCTCGCGCTGGACAACAACGCCCGTATGCAGCAGCCGACGTGGCGGCGCCTGTTCGACGGCATGCTGGAGGTCGAGTGTGACATGCCGACCCGCTTCCACCGCGCCGACTTCACTGCTAGCTCCATCGACCGCTTCTTCGTCAGCCTCCACTCGCATGTTTTGCGGGAGGTGATGCCCAGCATGACCGTCCAGTACGACGCTGCGTTGCTCTCGGACTCCCGCCTCAGCGACCACGCCGTGGTGTCCCTCACGATGGCGCTGAAGCCGAGAACGACCTAGCTGGAGCAGGCCATCCCGCATGCGGTGATCAAGGACCCGCACTTCGCGGTCTTCCTCCATCGCCTGCTTGCGCAGGCCGTTTTCGACTACCTGGACATCGAGGCCCGCTGGAAGACACACAAGCGGCTCATGCGAGTGGCTGTTCGCATGGTCCGCGACAAGTGGACTTACATCCCAATCGGCGACGCCACGCGGCACGGCTATTTGGAGGGCTGCGTCATCACCTCGCGCTCGATTTCACGGGCGGTTTGGAAGCAGGACGTGCCGCCTGCCCTCCGCCTGGTCTCGCAGACCGAGTTGGGCGCCCGCTTCCTCGAAGGCTCCGACGACGAGGTTTGCCTCCTCCTCGCCGATGAGTTCGCCTCGATTGCAGCAGCGCTCAACCGCGACTTCGAGGACCACTGACGACGCGGGGCCGAGCAGGCGGCGCTGCGCCCTCGCGGGCAGGCTGACGCCGTGGGGCCGATGCAGCTCCAGCGCATCCTCTGCGTCGCCCAGCGGAGGGCCCTGATGTGGGCCCCGTGGAAGAGACGCTCGCTTTCGCGAGGCATCAAAAGGGTCGGCGCCCCCTCTCCTCCCCAGGACGCCGAGCCCCGAGGATGGGCTGGCATCCTGCGGAGGTGGACCAGGCGCCGGCCGGGTCGGGGGGGGGAGTTGCTGGCTGCGGTTTGTGCGGAGGAGGACGGCACGGTCGTCAGAGGCGGCGGCTCCACGGTCGACGCGTGGCGGCCTCGCTGGGAGCCGGTCTTCGCCGCCAAGCACGTCGACGAGGCCCAGGTCGCCGCGTGCATCCACGCTCGCACGCCGCAGGGCGACACCCTGGGCCTCGACGCTCCGTCGAAGGGCGCCATCCGCGCCTTCCTCCGCCGCGCCCGTGCTTCTGCTCCGGGCCCGGACTGTTTGCCATACGCTGCCCGGCTGGCTTGCGACGCGTCGCTCGGCTTGCTGCAGGACTTTGCGTTCTGTCTGTGCCCCGGGCAGTGTATTCCGTGCGTGCTGGACGACTCCGACTTCGCCTTTTTGCCGAGGGGCGACAACGCCACGGGCTCCCTCACGACGGACTGCGCTCCTCAGGACGCGCGCCCGCTGTCGCTCAAAAACGCGAGCAGCGGGGCAATGTCGGGCGCCGCCAACTACCGCAGCAGGGCGGCCGTTCGTGGACGAATTCGTCCCTCTCAGCAGGGCTTCGTGCCCAGTCGTAGCTCCACGCAGCACGTCGTCCTCTTGGATGCCGAGATGCAGACGGCCTCCCTTTCGGCCGACGCCCCGACGAAGCTGCCGACGTTCACCAGTTTCGACTTCGCCGCGGCGTTCCCGTCGCTGGGCAGGGTCTGGTTGTTCTGCGCTCTGGAACCACTCGGGCTCCCGCAGGGCTATCTGAACTTGTTCCGCGCGCTGTGCTACGCCCCGAATAGCTTCGTGAAGGTCGACGGCGTCCGCTTTGCGACGTTCGCCCTCGGGTCTGGCGTGGCACAGGGCTGCCCTGCCAGCGGCTCGGCGGTGGCCATCGCGATGGACCCGCTACTCTGCCATCTCTGATCGTTCGTTGAGGATGCGGATGGCCGGCACGACCCCGAGAAGGGTTATGTTGGAGGTTGCGCCGGCGACGTGGGCCTGCTCTAGTTCAAGTGTGACACGCTCCGCAAGACACACGCGCCGATGGCTGCATCGCCCGCCCTTCTGAGGCTGAAACCCTGCAAATGCGCAGTCGTCCCTCTCTGGATGGTCAAAGGCCGCCCCTGACGTCCAGGCGCAAACGCGTTCCCCCCTCGCCGAGATCTCACCCTCGTGAGGGAGGTTCGCGGTGGAGGGACGCGACAAATATCTCGGCGCTTTTCTCGGCCCCTCGGCCTCTTTAGCCTGCCAATAGCTTGCTCCTGGACAGAAATGGTGACCGCGCGGAAACCAACTCGCACTTGTCCAGGGGGGGAGTGATGTCACAGTCCATGTATATAACACCTCCGCAATTACAACCCCCAGCTATATTAGCGAGTTCTTCCCAGTGGAGCCGCGGATCGTGCGCCGCGAGTTTGCATTTTCCATACATGTTTGAAGCTCCCTCCCAGCACGTTCCGCAAGGTCGACATTACGTCGCTTGCCGAGTGGAGCCCGTCACCGACGCGTCATTCGATTCAGGTGCAGGCCGCTGCCGCTGCCATGCGCTCGGCTTTGCACACACACTTGGTGGTCGGCGGCAGGCTGCCCACGCTCGCTTGCGGGACAGGACCTGGGAGGAGAGTACGAGGCAGGACTTTCCCTTCCGATGGTCTCGTGGCCTGTGGTTTCCGCCACTCTGGGAGGAAGAGACAGTCATTGTGCAACACTACCAGGCGTTGTGCTGTGGCTCCCGCGTGCCGCCGTTTCGCTGGGGCATCGATTGCCTTGGCTGCGTCTGCCGCTCGCTGGGAGCAGCAACAGGTTGCCGCCGTGCCGCGTCGCCCCAAGGTGCAGCGTAAGATCGCCACGGTGCTGCGCCGTGCTAGTTTCACGCCGCCTTTTGAAGTCACTCTCCGAAAACGCATTGATGCTTGGGCCTGTTCGGATCAGCTGAGCCTCGCTTGTCGAGCTTTCCGCACGTTGGAGTTTGTTGAAGGCCGTTCTCGGGGAGGTTCGTCCAAGCTGGCGCTGGGCATTGATCAAGACTCTCGCGGGCGCGGGCGGTTGTACCACCACTGCACGCATGCACGTCCTCGAGCAGAGACGTTGTGTTTCGGTGGCGCCCGGCAGCCGGATTCATTTCCACAGTACTTTTCCTGCCCCAGTCTGCTTCGTCTCCTTTGGTTTCCTGAGCCCCTCTGCTCCAATCCACACTCACAACCTGGGGGTCGGCCCTGCTGCCGATTTGTGTGTCTGACCCTTCCAACGTACTCTCGCTGCGGTGGACCGTACTGCGCGTAGTGTTGGCTTTGCATTTCTGTAACAAACAAAAATCGGCGGAGGATTTCTCGCCTAACATTTTGGCAGCGTCGCTCAATGCAGTTCGCGCCATGCTCTTCCGCCAGTCCACTGCCCGTCGGGAGACTCGCGCCCTCAGCTACCATCCTTCTCCCTCCTCCTCCTTATTCCTCCTCCTCCTTCTCCCTCCTCCTCCTCCTCCTCCTCCTCCTCCACCCCCCCGTCCACCCGTTCCAACAGCACGTGCCCACGCCCCCCAGAGCATCCTCGTGGATCCGTCGGCGCCAGGTCCTCCGAGAGAATACCCTGCTCTGACGAGCTCGCGGACCGCAGGTTGTTCTTCACGGCAGCCGCGCGCGCGCAGCAGCGCGAGGGATTTGGTGCTGACATGCTGCTCTGCGGCTTCGAGCCCGGGGGGGGGGAGGGGAGCAGCAGGAAGAGAACGAGGAAGACGCTTAAGAAGAGAACTAATAACAAGAGTAAGTATAATAATAGTAAAAGTAATAAGCGTAATAAGATTACTATTAGTATTACTACTAGCTCTAATTATCCCAGAGCGACCCTACCTAGGAGTTGGAGCCCCGAGGAGAGCAATCTTAGTAGTATCGGTAAACGCCGTCCTCATCCTTCTCCTCATCGTCGCAGTTGTAGCAGTAGCGGTAGTAGTAGTAGCAGTAGTAGTAGTAGCAGTAGTAGCTGTAGTAGTAGTAGTAGTAGTAGTAGTAGTAGTAGTAGTAGTAGTAGTAGTAGTAGTAGTAGTAGTAGTAGTAGTAGTAGTAGTAGTAGTAGTAGTAGTAGTAGTAGTAGTAGTAGTAGTAGTAGTAGTAGTAGTAGTAGTAGTAGTAGTAGTAGTAGTAGTAGTAGTAGTAGTAGTAGCAGTTTGTAGTAGTAGTAGTAGTAGTAGTAGTAGTAGTAGTAGTAGTAGTAGTAGTAGTAGTAGTAGTAGTAGTAGTAGTAGTAGTAGTAGTAGTAGTAGTAGTAGTAGTAGTAGCAGCCGTAGTAGTAGTAAGTAGTAGTAGTAGTAGTAGTAGTAGTAGTAGTAGTATAGTAGTAGTAGTAGTAGTAGTAGTAGTAGTAGTAGTAGTAAGTAGTAGTAGTAGTAAGTAGTAGTAGTAGTAGTAGTAGTAGTAGTAGTAGTAGTAGTAGTAGTAAGTAGTAGTAGTAGTAGTAGTAGTAGTAGTAGTAGTAGTAGTAGTACTAGTACTAGTACTAGTACTAGTACTAGTAGCAGTAGTAGTAGTAGTAGTAGTAGTAGCAGCAGTCTTACTAGCACAGCTTAATACCTACATCTACATGACATGCTATGCTATGCTGCGCTATGCTATGCAATGATACGATATGCTATGTTGCGCGATGCTATACTACGCTATGCTATGCTGCGCTATGCTAGGCTATGCAATGATATGCTGTGTTGGACTATGCTATGCTATGCTGCGCTATACTATGCTGCGTTATGCTATGCTATGCTACGCTATGAGTTGCCGCGCTATGCCATGCTGCGCTGTACGTTGCTACGCTATGCTAGGCTAGGCTATGCTGCGCTGTGCTATGCTAAGCTATGCTATGTTATGATATGCTATGCTATGCTGTACTGCGCTATGCTTTGCTGTGCTATGCTATGCTGCGCTATGCTATGCTATGCTATGGTATGCTCTGACATGCTATGCTATGCTATGCTGTGCTATTGCCGCGCTACGCTACGCTGGGCTAAGGTAATCTAAGCTAGGCTAAGCTAAGCTAAGCTAGGCTAAGCTAAGCTAAGCTAGGCTAGGCTAGGCTAAGCTAAGCTAAGCTAAGTTCAGCTAGGCTAAGCTAAGATGAGATAAGCAAAGCTAAGCTAAGGGGGCGCACCTGGGGGAACCGCGGGGCGGATACTGGAGGAACCGCCCGGGGCGAGGAACACTGCCCAGCCCCTATAGGCCCAGCGAGTAATTACCCTCTAGGCAGAGCCTAGGTCGGGAATGATAGCAATACTAATAACATACTAATACATGCAAGCATAATCGTATACTACTATTACTACTACTACTACTACTACTACTACTACTACTACT